TCACTGCCTTTGTACCACTGTCCTCCCGCTGCCAGCCATTGGCAGTCACGTCAGAGTCCCTGTGGTCATGGACTGAACCGGCCAGTGGCTCTCTCATCACATTACTGCAGATGAGGAACCTAATATTTGCCTAAAAACGTTATTTAAACATGTTTTAAAAATACTCAATTCTAGCCCTGGCAGGTGTGGCTCAGTCAGTTGGAGTGTCACCCCGAACACCAAAAGGTGGTGGATTCGGTTCTCGGTCATGGCACATGCCTAGGTTGCAGGTTCAATCCCCGGTTGGGGTGCTGTGAGAGGCAACTGATCAATGTTTCACTCTCACATTGATGTCTCTCTCTCTCTCTCTGAAATCAAATTTTTTAAATATTAAAAAAAATAGTAAGTAAATAAAAATATTTTATTCTTTCAAAACCCCTTGCCAAAGCAATTTGTATCAGGGGTGCACTGGGATAATTTCCGGGGGTTGCCATGGGAACCCGTGCCTGTGAATTTCAAGTGACACCTAGTTAGCAGCTGGCTGTTCGGGGCTCTTTTGGAAGAGGGATGTTTCTCTTTTCTTTGAAATGGGACAGGTCTTCCTTCAGGTTGTGAACAATCAGCCATGGCAGTTAGGAAGGAGATGTGGCTCTGTGCGTCCAGAAGGGGTGAGGAGCGCAGGAGGGAACTGGCTCAGACTGGCTTTCAGAGGAGGACACACCGCTGAGGCTGCCCTTCACCGGCTGAGGCCAAAGTCCCTGATGGAGACCTCGCAGCCATTAATAAGTCATTTCAGATGAGTTGCATCTGTTGGCTGAACTGATCCCAGCATGTTCCCATGTTCCAGGCATGACCCAGAAGCCCTTGCTCCCAAGAACCTGCCCCGTGTGGCCGATGCTGGTCCAGATGAGACTTGGGTGCCTAGAACCATGGGGCCTCTATAAGCCCTGGTCCTGGTCCCGGCCAGCTGCCCAGCTGCCCCCCAGCATTACTCCTGCAGGTGCCAATCTCCCTTGCCGAGGGGGTGAGGAGCACCCAGTGAGTTTGAGAGCAGCGTCAGGGGCTGGGCCAAAGGTGTGCTCCAAAGGTTTGGTCCACAGGGCAAGTGGGGACCCAGGGAGGAGGCAGGTGAGGCTGACGCCTCACAGATGCACCAGGACTGAAAAGCTGTTGGTGAAGCATGAGGGAGTCGGGAAGGAAGCGGAGAGATGGGTCAGAGAGGCAACTGCATGAAGAGAGCAGCTCTCCTGGACCAGCGCCTGAGAGAGCAGTGCGGGGCTGAGTTTGTCCCTTTGGGCTCTTAGGAGTCCGTCAGAGTCTCATCCAAACACTTCTGGAGGATTCTGGATGCTGAGCTGGCCAGAGGCCCACGGCTGACATCCCAGAACTCTCTGGAAGAGTCCTTTCACACTAAGAGGGGATTCAGGGTTAGTTAGGGCTAAGCATCATCTAGTACAACAATCGGGGGGGCATGGGTTTGTCACTCTTGATAGCCATTAGTAGGTAAGCTTGATTCGTACACAGCGGGGGGAGCACGGGAGTAATTGCTGTTCTCAGCCCTGGCTACCCCTCAGAATCAACGGGAAAAGTGGAGTCACCTTCTAAACCAAATGATTGGAACTCAGTGACTCAGTGGCTCTGGGGTGCAGCCGGACCTGGATTTTTAAACACTCCCTGAGTGAGCCTAATGGGTAGACAGAGTAGAGAACTCCTGCTCTAAGACAGAACATCTGTAACCTAAAGAAAATTTAACCATGTGAGAATGGCAAACCTTCCCATCACCTGGAGGTAGCATGGTAGAATTTGGTTCAGTTCTTTAGTAAATAAAAAACTTTCCTCTAAGTTGAAGCTGAACTTAGACACATCATTGCTCTCTGAAAACAGAGGTCAGAGGATTAGGAAAACAGATGTCACCATGAGCATGTTCCTATGCTTGTGACATAGCTCCTACAGCAGATAAGAACACAGGCCTTCATTGTTTCTTTCCATCGATTTGGCGTTTGTCCCGTCACTGAATAAGGAAGATGAGCGCAGAGCCCACTGCTATGAGGAAAAGCAGGATTCAAACTCAAAGCTCTAGTGAGAGCAGCATTATGGGCCAGCGGATGTCGTAGGCTCTGGCCCTAAGCAAAACTGTGAAGCAGGGCTCCCTGCCACATACCCCATGGCTGAGGATGGGCAGGGTGGTTTCCCAGGGCTGGAGGCTGAGGCGTGTCTGGACAGCGATGTCTATGCTGACCTCCAAATTAAACCTTTGGACAGGGGACTCATGAGGGACAAGGAGGCCCAGGGGACTCCAGAGAGGGTGGTGAGAACAGAGCTGAGAAAGGCCTCAGGTGCTGACTAATTAAAGGCCTTGACCTTTGAGATGGTGTTAGGTTTTGTGGGTGAGACCAGGTGAAGGCTCTGCGAAGAGGAAGGGAAGGTAAGGGATGTGTCTGTGAGTCAACCCAAAAGTCACCCAAACCTTGGAGGTCACCAGGCCGGACTTCCTCACTTAAGGGACATGGCAACTGCGTGGCTGGAAGATGAGAGGACTCACCCAGGATCACACAGCAAATGAGGCCCAGAGAGACCGTACACCCCCTCCACCTGGGTGCACGACAGACAGCCTGTGCTGGGTGATGCGGGGACAGCAGAGCCCCTGTCCTCAGGAAGGCACTGTCCACTCATACACCCTGTACTGGTTTTCTATGGCTGCGGTAACCAACCACCACACACATGGTGGCTTAAAATGACACCAATGTACTATCTTACTATACAGTTCTGTGGTTCAGAAGTCCGAGACAGTCTCCCTGGGCTACCATCAAGGCGCTGGCAGGGCTCCATTTGTTTCTGGAAGCTCCGGGGGAGAATCCATTTCCTTGCCCTTTCCAGCATCTGGAGGCCGCCCACATTGCTGGCTCCTGGCTGGCTCCCGGCCCTCCTTCTCCATCCTGAAAGCCAGCAATGTTGGGCGGAGGTCCTCTAGCTCCACCTCCCTCTCACCCCCTCTCCTGCCTCCCTCTTCCCCTCTGAAGGACCCTAGTGATGACACTGGGCCCATGTGGATAATCCAGGAGAATTTCCCTATTTTAAAGTCAACAGTCTGAATTCTGCCTTTGCCATGTGACAGCACATTCATAAGTTCCAAGGATCTGGACTGGACATCTTTGGGGACCATTATTCGGCCTGCCATGCTGCCCATGAGGCTTTGCGGCCGCCGGCCATGGTGGGAGAAGGGCTGGGAGTCTGAGAGCTCAGGAGGGCTGAGCTAGGTAGGCATCAGAGGAAGAAATGGACGCCTGGTGGGTATCCCAGGACGGAACCTCTAGGCCAGTGGTTCTCAACCTTCCTAATGCCGCGGCCCTTTAATACAGTTCCTCATGTTGTGGTGACCCCCAACCATAAAATTATTTTCGTTGCTACTTCATAACTGTAATTTTGCTACTGTTATGAATCGTAATGTAAATATCTGATATGCAGGATGTATTTTCATTGTTACAAATTGAACATAATTAAAGCATAGTGATTAATCACAAAACAATATGTAATTATATATGTATTTTCCGATGGTCTTAGGTGACCCCTGTGAAAGGGTCGTTCGACCCCCAAAGGGGTCACGACCCACAGGTTGAGAACCACTGCTCTAGGCACTAAACACCGGGCTAGAGAAGGGAGGTTGAGACAGAAAGTATTTGTGGGTGCCTCCCTCACCTCATCACGCACAGGGTGTGTTTCCCAGAAAGTGGAAATGTTATGTGGGATCAGGGAGGCCAAGTTCTCTGCCAGGGCCAGAGGCATGGTATCTGGAATGAGCCAGAAGTGTAAAAGCTAACCTGTTTATGAAGTCAGCCAAGAGCAGAGAAGGGCAAAGCTCCCCGGCCCCGCCCCCACCACACATGGGCGTGCAGAATCCTAAACAAGCACCCAGAGGGTTCAGATGCTCCGGTCCCCTGTGTCAGCAGCAGGTGAATAGGCATAGCAACTTCACCGAGAAAGGACAGATTGGGAACGGAAGTGCTGTGTCTCCCAAGTCGGCTCCCTGTCTTCAGCATCCCTCCCCTCCCTGCTGCCCCAGAGATCTTTCCCAAAGGCAAGTGGAGCATGGGTCCAGCTTAAGCCCCGCAGCGGCTTCTGTGTTGTTGTTGTTATGGTTCTTCTTCTTCTTAACTGACTTCAGAGAGAGAGGGAGGGAGAGGGATAGAGAGATGGAAACATTGATGAGAGAGAAACATCAACATCGATCAGTTGCCTCCTGCACACCCACTACTGGAGATCGAGCCCGAAACCTGAACAGGTACCCTGACCAAGAAACGAACCAGTGACCTCTGGTGCATGGGACAATGCTCAGCCAACTGAGCCACGCCAGCCAGGGCAGCTTCTGTGTTTTTCACAATAAAATCCACACTCGCCTCAAGGGCTGACAAAATCCTTCACCTCCTGGGGCCAGCCCTTCCCCACAAGCAGCTCTTTCCCCAAAACACAATCATTTGTTCGTCCTCAAGGTCTCTGGAATAAGCTACCCTTCTTTTCTTTCTGGAAAACTCTAACACACCTTTCAGGATCAGTGTTACTTCCCCAGGAGCCCCACAGGAGCGGAGCGGCCCCCACCTCTCCCTGTTCAGAGCCCTGTTCACCTGGGAGGCAGGAGGGGTGTCCTTGCCCTGTGTTTCCTGTATTTCCTGGAAATGTTTGTCACATAAGGAACTGCTTTCCCAGGTCCCTAGGATTTAGAAATTTGAAGGTAGACTTTGAATGAGTTCAGTTAATGTATGAAATTAGACTAAGTCTGCAGTGAAAGGAAAACCATGTTGACAGTTCTGATCAATTGCTGGCATCCATGGCCACAATTAATGGCCTCCTTGTACCCGCACCCTTGGCTATGTGACTGCACAACTCCGCCCACTAAGAGGTGGAGTGCGTTTTCTCGCCCTTTGAATGAGAGCTGCCCACTTGACTTGCTTTGGCCAAAGCATGTAGCAGACGTGGTGATGTGCTTTAAGACCAGAGGGGCTTAACTGTTTCTGCTCTTCCCTTAGGACCCCTGCCTCGGCCATGAAAAGGAGCCTGGACCAGCCTGCTGGAGGGACAGAGAACAAGAACGGGCCAGTCTGCGGAGTAGAGCCACACCTGACACTGTGCTACATCCACCAGCCACAGCTCAGCCGCCCACTGGCCACAGAGTAAGCCCGGCCGAGTTCAGCCAAGCCGGCCCAAACCACCAGAACCACCCATCCAACCTGCGGACTTCCAAGCAATAACAAATGCTATTGTTTTAAGCGACTAAAATGGGGGGAGTTTTGTTACACAGCATTATTATGGCAATAGGTAACTGACACAGGACAGTTGATGGCTGGGAAGCAAATGGGAAATGAGTCAAGGGAATCCGTCCCCTCCATTGTTTTAATTATTAAAGTTTCATTTTAGGGAACATGAGGTCCTTTCCTCCTATGTGCACCAAGACTGCTTTTCATTTGCTTCTTCCTGGAGTTCATTTGGGGACTAGAAGGAGGAATGGGCTCCAACAGAATATTTTCCTGAGTGGAAATAATTAATTCAGTGTTTCCTGAAATGAGGAGGAACCTGCCTAATGGATCTGGTATTTGCATTCTGGACGCTGGTCTCAGGAAGAAGCTAAGGGCCTAGTGGGAAAGATCACTTGAGGAAGGCTGTTTGGAACATCAGAAATAAAAACAAATACAAGAGCCTCTCTGACCCTGCAGTTTTGACAGGCGTGGAACTGAGAAACCAGGTCAGGGAGCTGGGATCTGGAGTGTGGGGCAGAGGATCCTGAAGACCTGGAGGCATGGCTGGCAATTCAGCACTCCCTGAGCACACTGTCTGTCTCGGTGGACTTGGCCTTGCTCCTCACATGCCTTGTAAGGCACTGGGCCTGATTCAAGGCTAATTCAGGAACTGCCCCAAGGCGCACTTCAGCATTTTTCTTAACAAAGACGAGGAAGGAGGACAGAAGGGTTGCTCCTGCCCAGAAATGTATCCACGGCTCCAAGCCCAACTCAATGCTCACTGCAAAC